GAAGAATGGTCAGGAATCATCATTCCAACTTTAAAATTAGTTACCAAACTAAAGAATGGAAACAAACGCATTCCATTCCCACTTTATTTGATTCCATTCAGTCACACCAAACATGGCCATAAAGTACTCAAGGCATACATAGAAGAGTGAAAATAGATTATAACTTGTGTACATATTGATAAAATTAGGGTAAATTACACTTTATCTCCATTGGTTAGAGCATCTGGTCCCTTGAGGTTTGGTGTGTGTGCTAAACCACCCACTTCCATCAATTGGCTATTTGAATCATTAAAAATTATTTATATGATACCTAAACTACCCTTATATTATGCAAGAAGATATTAATTACCCTTATATTAGTTTAAGAAGTTAGATTAGTAGATGTAGATAGTCTAAGTTTGGCACTCCAAAGTCTACTTGACGTACTAATTCACTAGGCTATCGAGACATCTACTGTAAGAAGACATTAATTACCTTACAATTCTATGTAATCTACAACAATGCATATATAGAAAATTCATCTGCACTTTCTGTAGAGACCATTAGATCTAATCTAACAATCATTATTGAAGCCCACCGATATTCTTTCTTTTTAATACAAAACTACAATCACTATTTCTAGTTTCTAAATTTAATATTTACTAATACCACTAATTACAACAATAAAAGGTAATTACCCAAAAAATAAAAATCAAAATAGAAACCACTTCATCTTTAAAAATCACATCTCTCTCAAACAATGACCTTTACAAGAGTATTTTCTCTTTGCAGGTTCTTTATCTCATTTGTCTCCATTTAATCCTAAGTTCTGATTCTTACAAAACTGCCACAAACTATTCACTCAGTCCGTTTAGCAATTTCATAATAAATCATAGTCCTAATCATAAATACATCAACCAGAAAAATAAACTTATGACATATAAAACATCAACTCAAAAAAATATAAAAATAAAAATATATTTTATTTTTTTCTACACAACACTTCACCCCATAAATTTCAATGGATTAAAATCTCTTTTTTCTAATTGTCTTTTGTAATTATTTGTTTAAGAGACGCGATTTTCAAAGGTACGAGGTTTCAATTTTTTTTAATTACCTTTTATTATTGTAATTAGTTGTATTACTGCTTAATTTTGGAGTAGTACCAGGATGGGTGACCCACAAAGGCTCTGGTCCGGGGGAGTAAAAAACAGATAATATTGTGTCTGGCTAGGGTGAGGGTTGTTACAAATGGTATTCAAATCTGACCCAGCCAGAGGTGTAGCCAATAAGAACGTTGGCCCCCAAAAGGGGTGATTGTGGCGACCTTGTGGGCGGGTGTGTCGTGGGCGGGTGCGAGGCACTGGCAGGCTACCACACTGGCTAGTTACGGGTGCACAATCCCACATTCCTTGAGTAAGAAAAAGGTGAAATACTTACATGTAGTGGAGTGAGTCCTTACAAACATACAAATTTATTATATTTAAATAAATTAATACTAATCTGTTTCTCTTTTCAATGTGTTCTATTTTCCCCACCCACTCCTTTGCCGACGTTTGCGTCAGCTCCTTCTTCCTTTACTAAACCCTAAAATCTAACTTCTCTACTTCTCTAAAATCTCCTTAGATCCACTCTCTCTAACATCCCTAACCATTCATCATCACAATCAAGGTCATATTTAGGGGGTAGGCTAGGTGGGCTTGAGCCCATCCCAAAAAAAAGAAATTTTTTTTTTTTACTATAGTCAATTTTAGGCCAATATATATATATATATATATTACTAGTATTAGCCCACCTAAAAAATATTAGCTGTAATGACCCGGTCATTTTACTTCCTTTCTTTTTTTGGTAATTTTCTTTTTTCGTCTTTTCCCTATTTCGTCCTTTTCTCATTTTTCATTTTTCCTAGCATAACCTCACTTTTTGTGTTCGGATTTGATTTTGGCCTTGCATACATCCATGATATTTAAATTCCATGATATTTACATTTCTACTTTTGTAGAAAAACATGTTAATTGTTTACTTTCCTTGTAAAGGGCATGGATGCGTTACTTTTTGGTAAATATTCATAACTCGAGGGGTTTTTGTGTAATTACATAAAGTAATTATTTTTCATTTTAGGGACCATTTTGCAATTTTATTTAGAAGATATTTTGGGAAAGGACCTTTTTGCAATTTTTGGAGAGTGTTACAAGTGTCACACTCCCATGGAGCCACTTGTTGGCATTGTGGTGGAATCACTTGGGGACTATATTTGATGACACATGGAGGGTAGAGATTGACCCATTTGTTGGCCTAAGATAGGAGCACTTGTTGGCAAGAATGGTTGACAAATGTAGGCTTAAGATCAAGCCTTGGATGATTACTTAGGATGGTGACAAGTGTAGGCACCATATTTTGTCTTGCATTTGTGTGTGAGAGAAAGGTAGTGTAAGAGCACATAGTGAGTGGAGGAATACTAGATCCTCCACTCACCTATTTTCATTTTACTTTTCTTATCTCTTTGCGCTCAAACCCTAACCTAGCCACTATTGAAGCAAAAGCTTGGTTTAAGGCTTTAGGCTTCATTTTGGTGCCCTTCCAGTCACCTTAGAACCAAAAACTTGGAATAATTTAACTTCCTCTCACTCTCCTCTACAAAACCCTAGATTGGTTTACCATTTTGAGCTTGGTTGTTTTGGAGTATAGAGATTCAATTCTCTATTGAGGTAAGGGTGGTTATATGTTTATCCTCTTTGGGTTTTATATATATTGGAGCTTGATATATATTGATTACATGCCTTTTTATTTCTTGTACTAGCATGTAAATAGCGATTTTATATGCTTGACTTAGGATTTGTGGATTAAAACATGCATATGACTATTAAATTGTATAGGTAGGTTATTGTCTAATAATTTCCCTAATACTTGTGATTTCATTGAGGATTTGTTATGGATATCTTGAGATTACACTTATGATGTTAAGTAATGTAGATGCCATTGAAAACTTAGTATGACAATCTTGTGTGTGGCACTTATAACTACTTGTAGGTAGATTACTATATTGCATGATTTGCAATTATGGCCTACATCGATAGTAAATTGATATAACATGATGTGTAGTATAATTAACTTGCTACTTTAGACATGTAACCTTAAGACAAGGGTTGTGTGGTTTCACCCTACTTGTGCTTAGTAAGTAGTTTCATGCATTGAGATGGTGTAATTGTCATGAACTTGTTGATCTTTGGAAGCTTGTAAGGATATAAATGTTTGATGGCTAGGGTTTGGCTCTAGTACGGAGGGTAAGAATTCTCTTAAGTCATAGTGCGCACTAGGTAGTACCTTGTGGGTCGTAATTACACAAAATAACTTGTATGGTCTCGTGGCCACATATCTTAGTCTTTCCATTATTTGATTTCGCATTACTTTCCAAGTTATAAATCATGGATTTCTTGTACTTTGTAATTTGGAAAATCTTGGTTTAAATGCATTAGTGTACTTGTTTATGCATACTTGGATGCCATGTGTTTATCATTTCAAACATTTGTATAGCTTGAGATGATTCCTTGGAGTGCCTTGAAAACATAGACGTTAGGTGGAATGCACCCTTGTGATGGTCTATGTTTGGTTCACATTATACTTGAAACTATAGGGTATGCGTATGCACCATATCCTACGAGTAACTTGATTACTCACCCTAGTTGTTGGGTTGTTTTTCAAGTAAAGAAGTATTATTGTGGGATGCACAACACTTTTAGGATTGTTTGTCTACTTGGAACATTTTTGTTATGTTGGGATATGCACTTGTTAGCATATCATGCTCTATTTTTGTTTATTTTGACAAAACATGTATCTAATGTTCAAACTATGTAATGTGCACTTAAGTGCACCTTTTGACACTCCTAAGATATGTATGTAATGAGGCCAAGGGCCAAAGACACTTATATGCCATGTATGCTACTTTATTTACATAGTTTGTGTATGGATTATATGGGATTTCATGCATTGAAGGGTCATATTTTGCATATGACATGCCATGAGGCCGTAGGCCATTCTAGCGCGTCTAATTCATCATTTTGTGCATGTGAGCATGATTACATCTCAAGGAATACATGGATTTTAACTTTTGAATTATTTTTGGATGATTTATGAAGATTTTAGCAAAATTCATGCATTGGAGCATCATTTAAAGCTTTACTTCGATTTAGCATGTAATGGTTGTTTCATTTAAGGTTTAAAGATGTTTTGAAACTTGTTTGGATCACTTAGGATGCATGTGTAACCTCATAACCAAGCCAAGCACCTTCCCATGGATTACAGCAGCTTTTTCTGCTGCTGCTAGGTCCATCGATCGACTGATAGCAGCCATCGGTCTACCGAAACGTGTTAAAAATGAGATCCCGAGAGTTTGCACTTGAAAAAGGGCATTTTGGTTGGCTGGTACTGTACATCATCCAGCTGATGAAGGGGTTTCGGTCGGCTGGTACTGTTCCATCAGCCTGCTAATCCTCCCTGAAGCTTGGTTTACTTTCAGCATCTCGGACAGATTTCTTGGGTCAACTTCAGAGGGCCATAACTCCTTCATTTCTAATCCAAATCAGGTCATTCTTAAGCCTAAACTCAATAGCTTGAAGTTAGCTTTCAAATAATACCAATTACACTCAAAAACTCCAACCATAGTGAGAGTTATACCAGTTTTAGTAAGATAGGGTCGTGCTGTCTCATAAACGGAGGATGCCACTTCGTTCTAAATTCATATATTTTCCGTCCAGACTCCAAATCAGGTGATTCTTGAGTCTAAATTCATTAATTTTTCATTTTATTTCTAATGGTACTGCTGTGTAGCATCCATTTCTCTATGAAATGACTATTTTGCCCTTAGGTTCATTCTTGTCTATTTTTGAGACATCATTTCCGCATTCGTTTTCATTGGGTTTCATGACCTCATTGAGGATCACATTGGTGTTTTAAAAATGTGTAGTAGTTCTAGGGACCATTGTTGTACCTTTTGCTTACGCATTCAAGATTCATCATTGGATTTACGTTCCGTTCATCTTAGGACGCACTGGCCTAAAAACCAGGGCCGTCACATTAGCCCACTCCATTGACAATTCCCTCACAATCCGTACATTCATTAGAATCATCACCAACATAATTTCCAATTCTGCCTTCATGATCACCTTCACCATCTCGTGAAGAATCAGAGTATCTGCTCCTAACTGCTGCATCTGAATTGCTTGTTGGTTCTCTCAAACTTCAGGAGAAGTCACTGTAATTTATCCTAAAATTTAATACAGGCAAGTGGCTAGGTGTTTGCTGTTCTTGGTGATGAAGATAAACTCAAGTGTTACAAAACTAAACTGAAAATTTATTAATTGTAGAACTTTACCTCAGCATCCATGAAGCAAATATGGGTTTCCTTCATAGCCGTGGTCACATTGGCATAGGTCGTAAGTTGAGCTTTGATTGAAACAGGAAACATTATTGCCACATAATGAACTATTAGACACATTAGAATTGAAGAAATCAAATATACTGCATGTCCAATATATACCCCAACTCAGCACAAGTGGGACCACCTCCATTTCCTGCACGGCATAGGGGTCTGTCAGGTTAGTGAACCATTCTTGGTCCACCATAAAGGCATATTTGCACTCTTTATGATCATCGTTTGAATATATGCTTCTAAAAGATGCATTGATTAAGTCAAATGATGGAGGGATTATGGTTTGGCAGTAGTTGATGCCATAACAACCTTTAATTTTTGAATCACTATTGCAGATGGACATGTAGCCCCTTACGACCGTATCTCCTTGGGTGATTAATGCGAGGACACAACCCATGGCCGTGAATCGGGTGTAGTTGTCTGAGAAGTAAAAAGGAGTACCAGTCAATTCCACAACTTGATTATTAACCCTGTTATCACCACAATTAGAAGTGATTACCGGGTTGTTGACACTAACAGTGCCTTTTGTTAATGAGATTTCAAGCACCTCAAGGTTTATTAGCGTGAGGAATGGTTTGGGTAGGGTGAAAGATTTGTCGCAGATTATCTGAAACGAGTAGTAGGGCTTATTAGCAAAACAATTGGCTCCAATACCAAATGGGTATGGAATAGTAATATTTCCGCATTTGTCTAGACAACCAGACTTTGCTATTGATGCTGCTAATGCTAATGCTGATGATGATGCTTCTGTTAGTGTTAGCCACAATAATAGTGTGACTTGCAGCACCAATTGAGTAACCATTCACTCATACACAGTTTTTGGGAAGATAGAAGGGAAATAATAAATAAGAAGACTACAATCTATTAGACATTAGTCATGGCATTTGGCAAAGTCGGTAAATCGTTATTCCAAAGTTGCAGGCATTCATCCATTCTTGGCCATTTTTAACGTGATGTTTAGCATTACCTTATTGTCAATTGTGATAAAGTGCTTACTAGAAATTAATGTTCAATGGATGACATTGAGTCATTGACATTAATGTTCTGGCATTTTCTTGCCATTTTTTGTCTTGGAAAACACTATTCTTTTTTTTTTTTTTTTTAATGGGGTGACTTGGTCTGACCACTTTTAGCCAACTTCTTTAGCCCTAATCTATGTTACCATGTAGCTTGAGTGGAGCTATTATTAAATAGATTAGTGTCTTTTTGTGACTTAGATTGATAAAGTTTCACTTATTTTGAATATTCTCTATCAGTTTACTAATTGATCTCTTGAATCCTATCTCCTTTTTATTCCTCAATTGAATTGGACTTTCACTATTCATGAGTGGCCGTCTAGTTACAAATTTACAATCGTCAATATATATATATATATATATATATATATATATATATATATATATATATTTGTTCTATTAAAATATGAGAAGGATTTGATAAGATATAACCATTTTGGAAACATTCAAATTTAAGTGTATGATCTTAGCCTTCAAGATGCATTTATGTAAGATTTAATTTGATAGACATTTGATCCAAATTCCTTTTAGCTAAATCAATCCGATACAATATGCTTTTATTATTCTTTTATACTCTCTCTCTCTAACAAATAGTAAATTAAAGATCTAATTTTTTATTTTTATTTTTCTCTTTGTTTGCCAATCTCCTTTGACATTACTCCGTATTATTTTTAATTATCCATAACTTTGTAAATTGAGTTGACATAGGATCATAATGTTAGAGTTATTTTGCACAATCAATTGGATTTGATATCAGTTATTGAGACGTTGTAAACGTAAAATAAACAACATTATTCAAGGAATAAACAAGCAATCACGAAGAATAAAAAAAATCACACACAAGAATACAAGAAATACATGGTTTACCCAAATCTTAGGGTTACGTTCATGGAATACATTGAACAAATTCACTATGAAGAAGATGACGAATTACAATGGAGAATTTTCTCTCAAGCTCTCTCAATTGCTCTCAATTGTATTGTCACAAATTATTCAATCACACAACACATATGATGATCCTCTCTTTTTTCTTCTCTCTATTTTTACCACACCCTAAAATCTTATTAGAGTTGATATATATAGCCCCAAATAATTTGTCCTACAAAAAATTGCCTTTTGTAGAATCCAAAACCAATAAGGAAATTAAAACAGATCAGGAAACTGAATTTTCCTTGAAATTCAATAGTCTTAAAGTTTCCATATGATTCAATCTTCCTAAAAATCTTTTACCTAATCAAACACCACAAAACCACAACAACCTCCTACTTAGAGGCTGGAGCACTTGTAAACCCATTCCATCTTCTTCTCATGCACATCTTATGCATGTTGGTACACTTATCTCTGTCTTCAAGCCAAAAGACCGACTGAAGTTGTGCACAACTTCAGTTTCTCCACCGTCACTATCTTGGTCAACGTGTCTGTCGGATTCTTGGTGCCAAATATTTTCTCAAATGTCAACACCCCATCTTCTAACAAAGATGTGATGAAGTGATACTGAAGTCCTATATGCTTGGTCCTTGAATGAAATGTTAAATTCTTTGCTAGATGTATCGCACTTTGACTGTCACTGTGCAAAACATTCTTCACCTGTTCGAATCCCAACTCTGTCAACAAACCTTGTAACCAAATCATCTCCTTACTGGCCTCCATCATCGCCACATACTCTGCCTCTGTAGTAGCTAACGCTACAATCCTATGTAGTTGCGAAACCCAACTAACTGTAGTTGTAACCACCATGAACACATACTCGGTAGTACTTCTTCTGTGATCCACCTCACCAACAAAGTCTGAATCTACATAACCATGTAGCTTTACCTTGCCAAAATATCTTATTGAGATTTAACATGATGCTTGAAGAAAATAAAATAATGCAAATGTTAGCTTTGGAGTGTATTCAAGATAAACTTTAGAATATTGCACTGAGTCATACAATTTTATGAGTTGTACACAGCGGGATATTTAGAAAGTTTTGATAATTTTAAAACAGATCTGTGTCTTTTCCGACTTTACTTATTTTAGCAATTAAACAATTAATCACATGTAGATTAAATAAAGCAAAGTAAAAAGTTAGAGATGACACCAGGATTTTTAGCGAGGAAACCACAATTGATAAAATACGTCAACTGTTTGTATGGAAAAAAACCTCGTGGACTGTGCATACCAAAGTAAACTGATCCACTAGGCTTGAAATAAAGTACACTGAACTTTGACTCTGGCTCACACTCTATCGTTCTACTAAACACCAACTACTGACAATCTTCTGGCTTTGCGACTCCCTGTCTAACAGCAACTTGACCTCAGGCTTATGCTTGATATTTGTAAAAAAGTAGGAGGTAGATTAGACAACACTCCACGAATGTTCCAACCCTTTCAAAGTGTGATTGATTTTGCTTATGTTCTTCAATCGTCTGAATTTGATGTAGAAATAGATCTACTTTCGTCTGATCGATGTAGATGCAACTGTATGATCACGATCAAGATTTGAACACCACAACTCTAAACTCTCTATGTGTTTATGTGCATATGTTCTAGAAAAATGACAGAAAAATCAACTCTGATTATCTGCAAAAATAATCTTCCTAAGGCCTTTAAGAATAATGAATTTATAAAACAAAAGCAGTAAATAAACCTATGTGTATGACATAGTTTATATAGAGGTTGCAAAGTCCTATTCCTTCTGAAAATAAAGGCAATTTTGTGGATAGAACTTGGAAGGAAAGTTGGATAAAAAATGAGTTAAACAGGATAAGGAAACTGAAAACCTTTTGATGTTAGGACTTCTGATACCGGTTCCCAATCTTGGTACTGGTTCCTAAAGGACAGAATGGAGTTCTTTGAATCTTAGCTTTTGGAACAGGTTCCCAACTTCAGGTACCGGTTCCCACTTAATAGAATCCAATTTGAACTTGGATTTTCTGTTGTTAGAAACTCTGTGAAACATACCATATAGGTATTTGTGTCCTAAGTGGGAAACGATGTCCTAACATGTTGTTCTTTCCTTTTCGATGATCAACAGTACTTTCCTCTTTTGAACAAACTTCCAATTCCGTAGTCGATGTAGAATTAGATATGGTAACTGAAATTATAACTTGACTAGGACTTATTTTGTTACCAAAATATGCCAATTACAAAAATATATCTCACATATTTGCCTTATTTCACTTATTAAAAGCATTAATGTCCTCTTGTGCATCTAAAAGTAAAAGGGATTAGGTATAGGAGTAGTAAATACATTTTTTACCCTTATGGTGTGAGTAAAATATCTAAGTTCCTTTTTTCAGTCCGTATAAATAAGGTCCAGTTACACTGAATATGTTAGCAAGCGAATTAAATAGATTAAACATAATTAATCTAAATATAAATGTATTCATACAATAAGTAAGGTGAACTATTAATACTATTATTCATATTTAAAATTAAAATGGATTAATCAACCACATAGTATAAAAAAAAAAATTCAATAGAATAAGAGTTCATTATAACTATTGTTGAACAAATTCATTATCACTATTGATGAACAATCCTTTTAAATTATTGTGGGTCCCTCAACTTCATACCATAATAAATCACACAATCAATACGTCAATAATTGATCCTAATGGAGAAGTTCATTATTGCTATTGTTGATCTTTATTTGCTATTAGGCAAGCACTTCCTTTAAAATAATATGTGGGTCCTTTAACCACTTCGCATGAAAAATCGGATAACCAATACGCCAATAATTTATTCGGTTGGCGAAGTTCATTATTGCTATTAGCGGGTAAATCCCATCATTTCCATATCTCTTTAGACAACGCCTTGTATATATATGAAATGATTCCCGATTAGGTTTAGAATTTCTAAAATCACCTAGTATAGACCACTTCGCTGGGGAGCTAACACTATTGATTTTAGATTAAGTGAATAACGTTATTAATGTTCCAACGAAAAATAAAACATTAAATATCTTGCCATTATAATCTTAAACTCTTTAAATCATTCGTAAAGCCTTATTTTTTAAAGATCTAATTACAATGAACATTTAATATTTTTATTTTCATGAGACAACCATTTTTGTAATCTTAGACTCTTCAGGTCATGCATGGAGTCTTATTTTTAAAGATCTAATTACAATAGTTTTAATAACAAAGACATGAAGTAATGTATAAAAATCCTCGCTTTCACTCAATTTTTAATCATTTATAATTAGGGTTTTCAATTTATTCATATACAAGATATAATGCATGCAAAACACCTTGATTTTAATCTAATTAAATTTAGAAAATATTTAGACTTCAAATGATTCACTAATATTTAATTTAAGGCACACTTTTAAAAATAATTTTTCATAAAAAATAATTTTTCATAAAAAATAATTTTTCATTTCCCTTTAAGTGCCCTCTAATTAATTAGTAATCAAATCTAATTTATTTTCATAATTTAATTAATATAAATCAAGTAATTTAAATAAATACCATGGATCCTATTCATGAATAATAATTAAATTTACAATTATATATTCCATGCATTTCATATATCACATAAATAAACAAATAAATAATTAAATGGCCAAAAGACTTAGCTTTTAACATTTAAATGTTATAATTATTAGGTGCTATAATTATTGTACCCCATTTAACTCCCATTATCACTAAGTAGAGGAGAATAACTTTGAAATTCACTTTGCGATAATAATTCACTCTTTAATGAGTGAAAACAATACAAAATAATCATAAAAACAAGCCTAGAGGTCCACCATTAGGTCCTATACACCTGTAGGAGCCAAAATCAGGTCATACGTACTGCC